TCCCCTTCCCCTTCCCCTTCCCCTAATTGTCCCCACTTTCTTTCCAGAGCTACAGCATGGATCTGCAAGTTTTCCACAACTAATACCCTCTCAGCTGTTCAGTAGCTGTTGGTGGCAAAAGAAAAAAAAGAAAAGAAAAGAAAAAAGAAAAGAAAAGAAAAAAAAGGACAGAAGTTTGGGGATTAACCTGGGGTTTACCTCTACAGCTAAGATACACTTGGTTAAGTGGCTTCTGTGGTTGTGGCTGATGGGAGCTAAAGTGCAAACCATGTGGTGGCCACCGGGGTGTAAACCTCTGGGCTAGAGCAAGCGCAGGAGTCTCAGGATACACGGAAGTTGGAGGATCTTTTGGAATCCCCCTTGCTCTTGGCTTCCAACCCAGTTGGGCTGGAACAACTGGGGTTGGAATTTCTTCCTCCTCCTGCAGGGAGTCAGCCCTGGTGGCATCTGAAGCCCCCAATCCTGCTTCAGATGGAGAAAGGCATGGCAATCCAGGTCCTGCTCTGTTGCCAGGGGCTCAGCCCATCCTGAAATATTAACTCAAATCAGATGAAAAGGCTTTTTGCTGGACTGTAACTTATTCCATCTGCTGCTTCTTGCTGACTTGCAAAAGCTGGAGGAGGAGGACGAGGACGAGGACGAGGAGGAGGAGGAGGAGGAGGAGGAATGCTGTTGAGGGCATCCCACTTCCTGCTTGGCCACAGTGCCTGTCTCTCTCCTCCCCTTGGAGCACACCCGAGCTTTCCTTTGGTGATGAACTCTGGAGATGTGACATCTTTAGGCATTTTTCCTAGAGCATGATGTCTGTTCATGTCGGTGGGCCTTATGCAGGAGATTGATGTTTGTGTATGAGTTAGTTGAAGGGAAGGGGAAGATAATGTTTTCAGTGTAATACCACTCTTGGAAGGAATAATGATAATAATACCAACAACAAGGATGATGATGCTGTATGATATTTTAAACCATGATTTGATGAATATCCATACTGACTGAGTGCATCACACTAATCCATAAATTATCAGTTACAACTCATGGCTGTAGGGGTTGTATTAAGAACCTAACCCCTTGTCAACTGTGCTTTATGGTTTAACATGTAGTGGAAACCCGACCTTTAGAATCATTTTACCAACCATGGTCAAAGCAAACCATGGCTTTGAAGTCAATTGGGAGGGCAGGCGGTCTTTGGTTGAGTCAACCCTTGAGGTGGCCTTGGAAAGAGGTGTAAGACCTCAGTCCTGCTTCCATTAGTTGGGGTGCTTCAAAAGGATATTAAACGTCGCAACTCCTTTGCACGCCAGGTTTGGGGTGGCCTAGAAGTTCTGATAAATCCTGCCCACATTGCAGCTATTTCCTTTCACGGTGGGTATTTTTGAGAAGATATAACTTCGCATGTCCATTCTTTCCAGCTAGTCACTCCTCCACACCAACTTCCACCATCATATATATTTCTTAGTTGTCCAATAATCTAAATTCACTAGGCAGCACATCTGATCCAACAACTATCCTGTTCATGTTCTATTCCTTTTTGGGTTTTTTTTCTTTTGCCACCAATCCTGCCAGTGAAACAGCCTGAAAAAGACCCATTTCCTTTGTACCCTAAAATCCCTCTTGAGCCCTGGCACGTGTTGTGTTCTTGGTGTGATATCTGTTGTAACTTTCTTTGGTGATGCATATCCAGGGTGAGGAAGGCACGTCGGGCATTCCTGGAGACATCGGTTTCCAAGGGGACAAGGTAAACCTGATTATTTCCCCTCCTCTCTCTCTTTCCACCCTGTATCTCTATGAACAGCCTGCCTACTTTTTTTTCCAGAGGAAGTCTTGATTTTATCTTGAGTGGATAAACATGCTTCAGGTCCTCTGGTGGGAAAGTGAAACTTGCAAGATTGCTGGGGGTGATCTTTGTACAAACAGGGGAAAGGTGCAATTTGGCCATCTACCAGATGGCCAAGAGAGATGTGGAACAATTTAATTTGGAGTGAGTGGTCATCTGATGGAGGGGGATACATGGAAGATTCTTGGGAAGGAGACCAAAGGCTACAGGGGGTGGAGCAGAGAACAATAATATTTTGCTCCTTTTGATTTTGAACGGTGTTAAACCAACACTAGGGTTCCCCAAAAATTGGCAGCGTGGATTCCTACTATTTTGAGAGGAGAAGCATCACAAAATGGTAGGAATCCACGTTGCCAATTTTTGCGTCCTTGCAAACATGGCCAGAATCGAAGAAAAGGAGTCTAAGGTTCTGACATGGTTCCTTTCTTTTTGGCCAAGATGTTCTCGGTGGGCTTTGTTCCTAGCTACAAGATCTGTATTTGCTCCTGGTTACAAAGTTTAAGGTTTATTGAATTGGAGAGCCAAGGAAGCACCTTTGGTACAATGCTTAATGACCCATTCTTAGATGATGATGATGATGATGATGATGATGATG